CAGAAGGGCGACCGAACAATTCTGCCGAGCGTCTTCATTTCTCTTATCTCGGTTGCGTTGTCGGCTGCTTTTTTGGGGGCTTTTTTTATTCGTGATCCTTGCCGTTGATATTTTTGCTGCATGCAGCGTTTTTTTGTTTTGTGGATGGCCGCGGCATGCAGCTGAGCATTGCGTAGGTAATGCAATGATGATAATAATAATAATTTAGGGGTGGGCAAAGACATGCAGGAGACATAAGGGTGGGTTGGTGTAATTGATTTGGATGCTCATTCCCGAGGTTGGCTATTCACTTGAGCACATGTTAAGGTTAATCTGTGCACTGAGCCAGGATATGTTGAGCGAGCCAGCCTTGGCCATGCTACGAAGACCCGAATCCATCCACTAGACCAGATGGGCACATAGGTAGCTGTCCGCTCACTTGAAGGTCACTTCGCCGGGCTCGGAAAGGTGCGATTCACGAGGGTCTCTGTCTGGTTTCATCGCAAGCAAGCGGTGCCGTGCGGTGCCGTGCGGTACCGTGCGGTACCGTGCGGCGACGCTTGCAGTTGTGCCGCTACGCCTCCGCTGTAGAGCACCATCTAGATTTGAAGCTTTCGTGACTGCAAGTATTCATATTCTTAGGTTCTTTCGGTAAAGTCACGTAGGCTAGCCGTAGTGTCAAGCCGCACCTTACCATAATAAAGGCTCAGTCCTTTGTTATGTAGACTAGCCGTAGTCTCAAGCCGCACCTTACCATAATAATAAAAGTGAGCCGGTCTTGGCCCATCCCCCTCCCCTCAACCAGTATATATACGGGGTAGTATCCCTTGGAATCTTTCATTTACTTGATTACAGCAAGCGTGCTGTGACGGTTCCACCTGAAGACGGAAGCTTGTGTTGCCTCCGAAACGTCGTGATTTTTATTTTATTTTTATTTTACTTTTATTAATTTAGATTTTTTACCTACGTGACTTTACCGAAAAAACCTAAGAATATAGAGCACCATCGTTCAGCGTAAAGCAGGCGGGTTGTTTGTTGATCCGGTACTCACCGATTCTCTATAGTCATTCTAGATTTGAAGTTTTCGTGACTGCAAGGATCCATACTTTTTGGGGGTTTTTCGGTAAAGTTACGTAGGTAAAAAATTAAATACATTAAAATGAAAACAACTAAATTAAATTCATTCACTAAAGTAATTTTGCTGTGGCGGTTCCACCTGAAGATGTCGGCTTGTGTTGCTTCTGAAACGTCGTGATTTAATTTAGTTGTTTTAATTTTAATTTATACTCTTAGGTTTTTTTCGGTAAAGTCACGTAGGTAAAAATAAATAAAAATAAATAATAACAATAATAAAATAATAAATCACGACGTTTTATTATTATTTATTTTTACCTACGTGACTTTACCGAAAAAACCTAAGAGTATGAATCCTTGCAGTCACGAAAGCTTCAAATCTAGAATTCATTTTAATTTATTTTATGTTTTACCTACGTGACTTTACCGAAAAAACCAAAAAGAATCTCTATAGTCACTCACTCATCGGCGGTCAGTCACCTCCTCATTGAATGTCTTATTATTTCGATTTAAAGCTTTCGTGACTGCAGGGATTCATCTTCTTGGTTCTTTCGGTAAAGTCACGTAGAAGGGAAATAATAAAATAATAAAAAATAAAACATAATAAAATTATATTTTACCGAAAAAACCAAGAAGATGTCTTATTATTGCTACCACCACGGTGGTTTATTGTCTCCAAAGAACTTCACTAGTTGATATTCTTAGGTTTTTTCGGTAAAGTCACGTAGGTAAAAACATTAAAAAGTAAAATAAAATAAAAATCACGACGTTTCGGAGGCAACACAAGCTTCCGTCTTCAGGTGGTACCGTCACAGCCACGACAGCTGCATCAAGTAAATGAGAGATTGCAGGAGCTACTTTACTTGATGCAGTTGTCGTGGCTGTGACGGTACCACCTGAAGACGGAAGCTTGTGTTGCCTCCGAAACGTCGTAATTTTTATTTTATTTTACTTTTTAATGTTTTTACCTACGTGACTTTACCGAAAAAACCTAAGAATATGAATCATTGCAGTCACGAAAGCTTCAAATCTAGAATTCACTAGTTGATTCATTCATCCTGCCCGTGTTGATGGCTCGGTCGACCAGACTGGCCGTTCCGTCCCGTTCGCACTGCGTGGTCAATCGCCAACACACCACAGGTCACGGCGAGACGTCTCGTTCCGCATCATTCCTCGCACAGCTGGATCGTGCAATTCCCTCCCATCCTCTCCTCCGCCGAGTTTTTGAAACCTCGATTCAAAACGTTTCAGAACGTGGTAACCCCCGATCTATTTGCACATTCACGAGTGCTGTTTTTTGCTGGCCCTCTGGCGTTTTGGGCCTCTGAGCCTGTGGCTCGGCAACAGTGGAGTACGAAAAAAAACCCTAAAGATTGTCTGCAGCAGAGGCCAATAGAGAGCTGTCTGTGTGTGAGAACACAGGCGTTGCCACGGGCAGTGCAGGCAATGCCTTCACTCAGCCACCCCCTAACAGAGATTTCGATTAAATGTAACAATTTGGCGTCACGATTTAATTCAACCATCGGTTGTATTAGAATTTTTTGCGGTTGCATAACATATAAATAATAGATTCCCACGTGTGATCTTGGATGCATGTACCACGAGCATGCATATTTATCTTCATATTTCCATTATTATTAATATCTTAATGATCTTAATATCACCATTTTTACATCTCTGCCCTCATTTAAACTGACTATTAAAATCAGTAAAGTGCAAGCGTGAATGTGATTTTACAACATAATTGCTATTATTAAGCTTTTTTGTTTAATCTGTAATTGTGAAATGCCTTGATAATGTCTGCCGGCCGAGAAGCCTTTGATAAAGATCTTCTTAGCCCAGCAGGACTTTACTCGGTGGGAAATACTCGGGATTCTGAATTGAAATTATCCATCGTTGCTCGCCGAGTGAGCAAATCAACAAATAGGGCCGCCAATAAGTGAGGGCTTCTATATCCAGGATGGAATTTCCTTCAGGTGGCCGAGTGGCTCAAACGGTCAGAGAACTGTTCTGACACCACTGAGGTCCTGGGGTCCGAATCCTGACAGCCACTCATCATTAAACGGTGTTCTCAAGTCTCATGAGCAGATGAGATTCGGGCCAATCGCCCAAAACAAAATAACTTTTCACGTAAAATCTGATTTTGTACTAAATTGATTAAATTCTAGCTCTGAGAATTTAAATTGTTGGCTTGGCTCTCATGAGACATCAACTTTATAGCAGAGCACACAGGAAAATGTGAACCCCTACTGAGAAAAAAATAACTTGAAGGATGTCTCAGAAGTCCTTTGAAATAACTCTTCTGCAGACATCCCCTGATACACGACTGTTCTGTGAGATTTCCAAATGGATTACTCATCTCATTACATGATGCCAATAGCACACATTGAACACATATTCTTTGGGTTTTTCAGTAAACTCACGTAGATGGTTCAAAGAAAATAACAAAAAAAACTACGACGTTTCGATCACAACACAGTGATGACGACTGTTGGTGTTGTGATCGAAACGTCGTAGTTTTTTTTGTTATTTTCTTTGAACCATCTACGTGGCTTTACCAAAAAAACCCAAAGAATATGAATTCCTGCAGTCACGAAAGCTTTAAGTCGATATTTTCAAATTGAACAGATTGGTATAAAACACCAACATGTTCAAATATTTACATTCATTTTGTCAGAGACAAACAACCGTTTCACACAATCATTGGCTACATTTACACGTAGGCTCTCACAACCAATATGATTTATAATTAGTTTTTATTTGGAGGTGGGTGGGGGGGGGGTATAATGCCAATTCTAAGTTATATCCCTTGACATCTTACAGGCAAATATGCCAAGAGATTTAGATCAATAAACCGGGATGTTGAAAAGCAATGCAAAACATTGAGAATGTTGTGCTGGAGATTACAACCAGCATCATCAGGCGTTCACAAAGCTCAGCTCTTATGCTGGAGGTGAGCTGTTGCCCACGTGACGACTTGATTTAATCGGCTGCATCCGGTGGTGGAGGGTTCAAGTCAAACATATTTATGACATAATCATATCATGATATAACCCAAAAGAAACGAATTGTGAATCGTCATCATTGGCTATCCCACACGTCTCTCACGCACATCTAACACGTTTCACCGATATTCTGTTGCTGCTGTATCTTCACGCAGTTCAGCATGACTCGTCGGAGAGCTATACAGCAACACTGCCCAAAGTTACGCAGTGGTGTGTCTGTAATGACTATTTATAGTCTTGGGTTTTTTCGGTAAAGTCACGTAGGTAAAAATAAATAATAATAAAAATAAATATTAAAATAATTGAAAAAATTATATAAATAAAATAATAAATCACGACGTTTCGGGCGCAACTCAAGCGTCCGTCATCAGGTGGGACAACCACAGCAAGAAACAATTGCTGAAGTGGGCAAAAGAGCTGCTGTAACAAAGGGCTATTATATTTCTAGATTTGAAGCTTTCGTGACTGCAAGGATTCATATTCTTAGGTTTTTTCGGTAAAGTCACGTAGGTAAAACATTACAATTAATAAAAGTAAAATAAAATAAAAATCACGACGTTTCGGAGGCAACACAAGCTTCCGTCTTCAGGTGGAACCGTCACAGCCACGACAGCTGTATCAAGTAAATGAGAGATTGCAGGAGCTACCACTCCGTTTATTTATTTTATTGTACTTTTATTAATTTTACGTGACTTTACCGAAAAAACCTAAGAACAGGGCTATTATAGGTAAGAGGGGGGGAGGAGCCAGGGAGGAGAGGTAGAGGAGGTGGGGGGGGAGTGGGCGGGACTGGGAGTGACTTTACCGAAAAAACCTCAGAGTATGAATCCTTGCAGTCACGAAAGCTTCAAATCTAGAACTATTTATAGGTTGTGGTTGGTGGAGCACCGATTGATGGGGAGACTACACTGGCGCCAATGGATCTACTCTGGTTACCCCCCTGTGAAAGTGAAATAATTGGCAGTGCGTTGCGCTTTGCTGAGACACGCGGTTGTGTGGATTCAGCAAATCTGTCGAATTACAAGAAGGGGGGGGGGGGGTAAAGGCGAAATGAGTTACGTAATATATGTTTCTTGGTTTTTAATTCGGCTTCAAAGATTACATCAAACGTAAGTGTTGCGTTCAAATGCATTTTAATGGCACGCATTAGGGCATGGCAATGCGATTCTGCACAAATCTCTCTTTACCCTCCACGAATAATGAATGTGACAGCTTATCTGTACTCTGCTGGCTTTATTAATTGTGTACATGACAGCAAATAATCAAATAATGTAAGCCCTGCGCTTTGTAAATCAGATGCAGAGTTCAGTGAATGGAAGTTGACTGCATAGCGCTTTGTGAATTAGAATAATAATTGGGTTTTTTATTTCAACATTGATTTCTCAGAGGACACGCAACGTTTTTTTTGCGTTAAAAGCCATCAATGGACCGATTATGGATCAAAGAGATGGTAAAAAGAACTACAAATATTTTTCCGAGTGGAAACCTGTCTTTACCCTGATGTGTTCCAACACGTGTATTTTGGGGCGCCACGGTGGCGAGATGTTAATTACCTCGCCTTACATGCAGGAGGTCGTGGATTCGATCGCGACCCTGACGCCTGCTGTATATTTGGAGTTTGAGTGTCTCTCTCCCCGTGATTGCGTGGATGTTTTGCTGGGTCCTCCGATTTTTTTTCCCCTCCACATTTTGTAACTTGCGTTTAGAGTTATTTTACTGCTAGAAAATGTCACGTGATAAGCCACTTTTGTTGAGCTATCATTTGTGACCATGTCGCTTATGAAGAAGAGCTATATATTGCTCAGTGGGCCTTACCTGGTAAAATAAAAAATGTGTCGTTTTCCAAATTAATGAAAAGTTGACTTTAATGGTTTATAATTTACATGAGCTCTCTTTCTTTCTCCCTGCCTATTGACATCGTATCGACTCTCAAGCAAAGTGTGCTTGGGAAGGGCAAGCGTTTCGAAACTAACCGTGGAAGAGAGGCAATGCGCCCGGCAGGCACGTCCACCGAGGAGATGGAGCGATGAGATCGGCAAGATAGATTGTGACACCCCTAGACCGTAGCAGGTGGTGACGGCTTTCGGGAGGCCTTCATCAAAGAAGTGTGGCTAGATCGTGGATGATGATGATGATGATGAATCTGTACAATATTGTAACAAAATAATTCCCATCTGCTGCTAGATGTTGCTACTAATGTTATTTACGAGGTGCCAAAGAGGTTTAGAGGTCAGAGGACTGTGCTGGCAAAACTGAGATCTGGATTCGAATCCTGTTAACCGCCGTCATTGACCGTCCTCTGACGAGCGTGACTTAATTATCACTTTGGATTTCGTGACAACGGAACTTGATAATGGAAGCGATTTGTGTGTGTGTCTCCCACCGCACGGTTGTGCCTGCTGAGTTACGGCCTGCTCCGAGTGTTCCAGTGACCGTGGCTGTTTGTCAACGCGACTGGTTAGCAAGGGTCTTAAGAGAGCCAAACGCCGCAGCGAGCGAGGTTTGGTAGGGGGGGGGGGGCTTTATTCGCTTCATACACGCACACTCGGGTACTGCACGTCTGTGATCGTTAAACATTTGGAAGTGTGAAGTGTTCAGTTGTGCCGTGGCGTATGGAGAGAAATAAAAGTTTAGACTGGAACGACGATCAGATGTTTTGTCTCTTCGCCGTCTTCTTAGAAGTCCTTTGATTCGTTTGAAAAAAAAATGAGCGTGTGATCAGGACCACCGATGCATGATTGCACAAACCTTTGGATTGGGCTCTAAAGGAACCGACTGACAGTGTTTCATGTCTAAAGATTTGGCTTGGAACAGTCGACGGAATTTTTTTTTAATGTTGATTTTTTTTCACCCTCTTTTTTAATTGATTTCAAATGAAACTCAAGGTGTGATGCGCTGCAGAGCAGAGAATGTAGGAAGGGAATAGTGTTGAACAACTTCTGAGTTCTCCTCAAATAGCCCTTTCTTTTCCATCCACTCAGAGAAACATTCATTGCATTGGCAAGCGATAAACAAAGTTTTATTCGAGTATATGTTTGCGTGTACTTATTGGTGACCGGGCTGACATCGTCAAATCGGACTTCAACTCAGGGGTCTAAGCGGTGCCAAGCTCGGTGCTGTGACCCCTGAGTCATCTGAACATCTTAGACGTCACGTAACTTTACCGTTACATTTCAATTGAAGGCAACGTTTACTATGCGAAGCAAAATAACTCTTTTGGCGAGATTTAGATCTGCTTGACTTTCAGTGAAGGCCATGGTGGTTCACGATGATTGCTCGAGCAATTAAAATGTTTATCAACCGTTGTGACTTATTCCTGCCCAATATGTGATATTACGTACCAAATCCCACATATACAACAATATGTATCTTTGCCAAATGCTTTGTAAATGCGTAATACTGTATGAGCATGTGGATATGACAGGTCTAACAGATTCGATCAGGGCTTTATTTATCACTAAATGTTCTCTGAGTGGAGTAGGCACATGTCTCGGAACAACGGCCTTCGCAAATGTGGTGTGCTGGGGTGCGGCTACGTACCGTGCGAAAGACGTTCAACACGCTTACATACAGACTGGGGTAGGCACATGACTAAGAGCCATAGTCGTGGCAAGACGTATACTGGATGTGGTGCGCTGGGAGAGGAAATATGTCCTGGCTTTCCGACCGAGACATTCCCAGCTGAACTCAAACCCTGGCTTTCAAGTAACGAGCTCTTATTCTTGGTTCTTTCGGTAAAGTCACGTAGAAAGAAAATAATAAAATAATAATAATATTGTTTTATATAAATATAAAAAATATGTTTATTATTTTATTATTTCCCTTCTACGTAGAAGGGAAATAATAAAATAATAAAATAATGTATATAAATATAATGAAAAATGTTGTTTTATATAAATATAAAACAATATTTATATTATTTTATTATTTCCCTTCTACGTGACTTTACCGAAAGAACCAAGAATATGAATCCCTGCAGTCACGAAAGCTTTAAATCAAAATTTAACGAGCTCTTGTTCCGTAACGCATTCAGCTGATTTGCTAAGTGACCCCGTTGCCTATGTCCAGAGAGGCTGTTAGCCACCATCTTGTCGGCTCAGGGTAATAACCTCCTCATTTCACAAATGCCGTTTACAATCTCTTTTAGATTATCTAAATTGTGGGTGGTTTGTGAACCAACATTTGCTGACCGATCTATCCACAGTGCGCTAGGAATGAGTGTCGAAGCAAGGCCCCTCTGTTATTTATTTTACCTTTGCAGCTCCATCTCGTGCGCCTCTTGATTGTAACAGAGAGGACGATTTAGGCAGCACGCTTCGAATGCCATAAAGAGCAGTTGTTGATTGTTCTGGGCTGCTTTTATTCGAGTTTCATTGGGTGTGCTTGCAATAAAGCGTGTTCGATGATCAAAACAGCCAATACGCAACTTGCCGCTGACTGCTGATGAGAAGGCACGCCTTGCACACCATGCTCCGATGTGCGATAGCTTTTGCAACGTCTCTGGGCGGTAATCATTAACAAGTGGGTTCTACATATGTATGCGATTTTAACCAACTTGTAGCTTGATGCTTTGCACCTCCGATTAACGCGGATGGCTACGTACGGTGCTAAAGAAGCTCAACATGCAGACATTACAGCGTGTCGTTGACTTACTGCTGTACGAAGGCCTCCGTCATGTCCACGGGGATTGTTGACCATACTTCACCACGCAGTGGTCAGTGTGTTGCTGTGTGGAGTAAGCTCAGGACTGGTTTAGATATCGCTCGCCAGCGATTTTGGTCGAGGCCAGTGCATCGGGGTTCAATGTTCACAGGTGCCATACTCCGCTACTGCGCCACCGCATCTGCAACAGGCGATAATTTATTTTTTGAGTGAAGTGAAATGCTAATAAAATTGGAATGGAATTTTTAAAGGATTTTTTTTGGGCCCTGCATAATTACATTACTTTGCACATTAAAAATGCACAATGTTTGCATGGCACATGTGTTCGCGCACACAATATTTGATGTGTGGCATGCGCCGCAGCACACGTGGACAATTTATCTTCATACGACGGAGAGCGGAGTGGCTCGTAAGGTCACCTTAGGCATTCTGCACCTCTGTCAGTGCGTCACAGCTGCTCGTATCCACGCACGAAACAAATTCCTCTCCACCCCCGGCATCCACGACAGGGCTGTGAGCTCTCTAACCGAGCCGGCTCTCATCACTTCGCGCTTTACACCTCCTGGATAAAACTCGCAGTCCATAATAGAGGGGTTTTTTTGGGGGGTTAGATCGCGTAAATATATATAAATGTGTCGTTAAAACCCGCCACCACCCGACGAGCCAACTAGTAAGGTTTGTCACGTAAACGGAACGTGCCAATTCGTCACTAGTACAGCTGCATTATTGAGCATTGTGGGGAGGGGGGGGATTAATGACCCATTAATCCCCCCGCAGAAGTGTGGTCACCACATCTACGCCTCTATATAAGGAACGAAGCAGGTGGACTTCTCCACAAATCTGGCTGTCGCCTGATGAAGCTAGTTGTAATTACTGGTGAAACGTCGTACTCAAGATTGTAAATGTTGTGGCTTGGCTCTCCAACACACCGGTGTGCTGTACTAGTACACGACACTTTACACTACACTATACACTACACTACTATACACTACACTATACACTACACACTAGTGCTATACTAGTGACGAATTGGCCACGTTCTCTTTACGTGACAACCCTTACTAGTTAGCTGTGTCGGGTGGTGGCGGGTTTTAACGACACATTTATATATTTACGCGACCTAACCCTCTATTATACCTCTGGATTGCAAGTCCAGTGCCGGCAACCATTACAACCACGGCAGCGGCCATGAACGCGTAAATTAATTGTTCCTTTCCCTATTTTATATTCGGCTTCATAATTATTTCTCGCTGTCTTTCTCTGCTTTGGGCTCTCGTTATTTCTCTCTGTCTCTTTCTCTCCAGCTGCCTCCACCAATGTAGCCTCAGCTCCCCCCCACACACACACT